CCCGTCCCCTGGCACCCCGTCCCCTCCCCGCCGCGCCCCGCGGCCGCCCCGCAGCGCCGGGCAGGGCTCTCCGCTCGCCGCCGCGCCGGGAGAGGAGCGGGAGGAGGAGGAGGAGGCACGGGCAGAGGAGGAGGGAGGTGGTGATAAGGGGTTTGCTGCGTCGCCTCATTTGTGTACCCAGCGCACGGCTGGTGGGGAGTGCGCGGTGCCCGCATCGCTGCCGGAGGGATCCTGCTGCTGCTGCTGCTGCTGCTGCTCCTGCTGCTCCTGCTGCTCCTGCTGCTGCTGCAGTCCCGGCTCCGGAGCTGCTTGTTTACCGGCTGGCAGGTGCTGCGGTGCGAGAGCCGAGCAGGGGAGGCTGTGCTCACCTGTCAGCAGCGCAGCACAAGAGGCTTCCCGAGGCGTCGGCAGCCCAGGGGCATCCAGCCTCCAGCACCGACTGCTTCGGGTCTCTTCTACGTGAGAAGAGGAAAAAGGATCCAGAAAAGCCCTGCAACTGGACAGCCCCTGCTGGAGTCTAACAGGTGTTTGCTGGGATTTGAATGGGGAGGGGACGGGTGGGAAGAAAAGTTAACTGGAGAAATCGGGGCTAGGAGAGATGAAATGATCTTGCACCAAGTGGATGTGCCATGGCTGCGTGCAAATAGCGCGTCTGGAGAAGCTTGGAGGGATGTCTTGCAAGTGATCTGCGTGATCTCCGTAGAAACGCTCGCCTCTGCCTGCAAACTTTCCCCTGCTAGAAGTTGGGAGGAATAAAAAAGCACCAGAAAGTGAAAAGGAGAAGACCCCAGAGGACAAAATCGCTCGAGCCAAACTGTTGCGTGCCGCGCCGGGGCTCCGGTGCTCGTCCCGCCGGCGTGTCCTGGGCTGCCGTGCCGAGCGGCGTGGGCGGCCTTGGCCAGGCTGCCCGGCAGCTGCCCGGCCTTGGGGACGGCCGAGCAGCATGCTGGCCGCGGCCGGCCGGCGAGCCCCGCGCGCCTGAGCCGGCCCCAAGGCCGGGGCGGTGGCGGCCATGGCCGCGGCCATCGCCAGCTCCCTGATCCGCCAGAAGAGACAAGCCAGGGAGCGGGAGAAGTCCAATGCCTGTAAGTGTGTCAACAGCCCCAGCAAGAGCAAGGGAAGCTGCGACAAGAACAAGTTGAATGTGTTTTCCAGGGTCAAACTCTTTGGCTCCAAGAAAAGGCGAAGAAGGCGACCAGGTTGGCAAGGGTTATATCTTTGGGGGGTTGGTTGGTTTGGTGCAATGGAAACTGGGGCGTGTGTCAGGTGTGGGGAAAGGGGGAAAGGTATTTCAGAGCTCGTGCAATGGATGTGCAGGACCTGGGTACCCATGCCAGTCCTTTCCCGTCGTGTTCATCGGGTTTATATGGGTAGCACACGCTGCTGGCTGTGCCTCACCTGTGCACCTGTGTGGGCCCAGGTCTGTCCCTCTGTTACACACATGTGAACACACGAGCGTGTTTGTGGGGGAGGTGCTAGCGGGGAAGTTCCCACACACGCATCTCTCGGTTGTATATTAAATAACTTCATGGTCTGGAGATCTGGTTTGGGTGCCCTGCTTCACAGAATGGCCGTGCCATGCTTTCTCTGCCAGTTGTGCTTTTGCCAGCACCTTGCAGAGTTTTGCTTCAGCGCCCTGTGCCTTTCTAGGAACGCCACCCCTGCGGCTGCCCTGCGGACACGAGGGTCTCTGGGTCGCAGGTGCACAAGATCAGGCGTGAAGGCTGGGTCCCTGGTCGGAGTGGTTTGTTTGTACGTGGGAGGAGCAAAACCCGCTGGCGATGCTGCCGTGCTTTGCTGTGCCAGAGCACTGGTGCTTGTGCCACCCCACCTGGCTGCCTTCTCGCAGTTTGCCAGCAGCTTTGGGATGGGTTATGGCTAGAGAGCCAGAGTGAGGGTTGGAGCAATTTCTGCTGAGCAAAGTTGGTAGATAAGAGTTGTGCGTCCATCAGGACTCTTACCAAAGTTGCCAATAAGATCTAATACACTTATGCAAACTGTTGTAAGCTCTTGCTTCAGCCCCTGCTACAATGAAGTGCAGCAGCAGAGCTCCCCAGTGCCTTTGGTACAAACACAAGGAGCTTACCCAGCCGCAGAGTGCTGGAAATGACACACCACATCTTCACAGTGTTTGTCTCTGAAGAGAGCAAGATGTTGTGGAGAGAGCTGCAGGGCTGCATGAGCTCCTGACAAACGTAACTGTGAAATGACTACAATGCAGATGTCATTGGCATTCAGTGGGCGTAGACCTTTTCTGCAATTACTCCTGATGCTTTAGCCTGATATCTTGAATGGCACACTTGACAGCATTTCCTGCTGTTGTGTACTTTTTGGCCTAGAATGATAGGAAACCATGTGCGTTATCTTGCTTTCTAGCTGTGAATCTGAGGATGGTTATGGCAAAAAGAAATCTATGCAAACTATGTGTTGTTTTGATCTTTCTTCTTCTAGCTGATGAGGTAATTACCTCAGCCCTTATGGTAATATTTATTTTGCAGTTCCACACATTGCTGGATTTCAGGGTTTCCCTCTCCATTTTCCATATGTTCATTGAGTAGTTTGTCTGTTTGGATGCTCTGTACTCTCTGGAGCAGCGAGGAATGGGGGTTTGTTTATTAGAGCTGCAGCAGTTCCTGTGCTAAACGTTTGCTGCTATATATTTAGGCTCTCAGCTGTCACTGGGGCTCTTATTAATGGTATTGTAGTAGTCTTCTTTTTCCTCTCCATCTAAGAACTCACACCTTTTTAAAAGACTGAATGTACTCTTTGCCAGCTCATTTTTAATCTTAAATGAGATAGGGCTGGGCTCCTGAGGCCAAGCAGTGCTGCTGGAATCCGTCTGCACTGGAAGTAGATTTTGCTGTGCTGCTCACACTGTAATTGAAAGTGGCATTTAATCATTTTGGCAATTGATTTCATAGTCATAAATTTGATCTCAGCCTAAATGAAAATTGTTGCAAAGCTGGTAGCCCTGCTTTTGTTTTGGGTCTTTTTCTTACCTCAGCCTTGAGAAGGAACCTGAAGATTTGTTTTTCACGTCCTGCTCGCTTGGAGTGGCACATCAGGATTTCCCACGTTAATCTCACTGTTGTTTTTTTGCAGAGCCTCAGCTTAAAGGTATAGTAACAAAGCTCTACAGCAGGCAAGGATACCACTTGCAGTTGCAAGCAGATGGAACAATTGATGGAACGAAAGAGGAAGACAGTACTTATAGTAAGTGACACGAGAATAAACGGGGTGTTTGTGGGCTGGGGTGTCTCTCCCTCCCCTGCAGGTCCCCTCAGAGCTGCTGTCCTGGGCTGGCTGAGTGGGTGGCAGCAGCACTAACGCCGTGCTGGCAGCACAGAAGTCCTTCAGACTGACTGGGTCTGAGAGAAATACAGATAGAAATCACTTTCAGAAATAATGAACCAGAGGAGGTAATGATGACACATGTGACAAACAAAGCAAATGTTATCTCCATGGTAATCCAGAGAAGTTCATTGCTGTCCTTTGGATTTTATTAGATTTTTTTTCAGCAGGGAAAATTTGCTCGCCTACTCAGAGCCTGAAATAGAATAACGCTATCTCCACTCTCACATAGGGGCTCATTCAAACAGTGCTGTGGTATTTCACAAACTGGGACTTTAGCAGCATTTTCAACTTCACATTTACCTATTATTATTATTTGTTACCTCTTCTAAATTGTGCCATCAACTTTCAACCAGCTTTCCCTCAGATTTTCTGTGAAAAAGCTCTGGGCATTTTTACTTGTTTTTGTCTCAGGTTTTTTTACAACTTTGAGGATTAACAGAAAACAGGAAAATATGACTAGAGCATTGATTTAGTGTGTGAGAAATGCTTAAGAGTCCCACACAGCTAGACAAAAATTTCAAGACTGGTAAAATAAGGCAATGTAGGAAACAATGCCCTGCAGAAAGTGTACGATGGTCCAGGTGGGCAAGCCAAGACTGGCAGACCTCAGAGAAATGTTTATGTTCATAGACCCAGCTGTGGCTGCTGCCTCTTCCTGTGCAGCTTCATTTCTCTGTCAGCTCATTCCACACAGAGACCTCGGTAAAGATCATCTCTCCCTTAGGCATTGCTTAGCTGTTCATTAGGAGGAAATCCTTATCCTTATATCCTTATTTAAAGCAATGCAAATGTAATAGGGAAAGAGTAGGATGCAAATAGCTTTGGATTATTTTGTGATGACACCAGCTGATCACAATAGGAAACAATTTATTTTGCTGTAGCTTTGGCACCCCTCCTGTCCTGTCTGTCCACATGAGGGGTGTGCCTGAGCAGCAAGGTGACCCCTCCATCGGGCTGTGCCCTGGGCACCTGCAGAGATGCTCTGTGTGCCTCTGCCGAGGTTCCTGGCAGCCTGCTCCCCAAACTGCAGCAGTCTGTGCCACAGCCACTGCTCATCCCACTGGGGTGTGAACCAGCTGCCAGTGGGCCTCAGCCTCGTCCTGCCTCGAAACTGGGCCTGGACGTGTCTGCCAGGGAAACGAGTCCCAGTGCTGAGAGCAGCAGCCGGGCACGCCTGCCTCAGGTGCCAGGGCAGAGCACCCCTGCCTCAGGTGCCACAGCACCCACCCCTGCCTCAGGTGCCAGGGCAGAGCACCCCTGCCTCAGGTGCCACAGCACCCACCCCTGCCTCAGGTGCCAGGGCAGAGCACCCCTGCCTCAGGTGCCACAGCACCCACCCCTGCCTCAGGTGCCAGGGCAGAGCACCCCTGCCTCAGGTGCCAGCCCGCTCGGGCAGGAGGGCTCAGCCTCAGCTCTGCCCTGGCCAGCAAAGCACAGCCAGGAATTCCTCATACAGCCCTTCCCAGTGGCCCATGGCATCTGTGTCCCTCTGTCCCAGCTGGGTGGCACCTCTGTCCCTGCTGTCCCAGCTCTGTCCCAGCCCTGCCCTCTCCTCAGCTCCTGCTCCCAGATCTGCAGCACTGTTCACAGTGGGGCCCATACTCAGACCCTGGTGCTGAAAATACCCCAACCCTTGCCCTACTTGTGTGTGCCATTAAGAAATCACTTTGCAAAAGAGCCCTGCGGGTTCTGCCTTGTGCTGAGCTCCAAATCCTCCTGTCCTGCCCCCTCAGAGATCAGGTGCTGCTTTTTGGGGCTCAGCTGCAAAGGGCCATGTCCAAGGGAATATTTTCTCCCCACAATAAACTCAAGCATTTGATGGAATGAATGAAAAATCCTTTTCCCTGCTGAAAATCTAAGTTTCTGTTGCCAAAAGCTGCGCAGAGCTGGAGAATTTTCTTTGAGTGAAGAGAAAGTACTGGGTGTTGATTTTGAGCTGGAGGTGGCTGTGAGGTTTGTCTGCACGTACACTCGTGGCTATGAAAGAGCAGAAAAACACAGATTTTCCGGTGCCCTGCATTAGTTTGTTGTTCTGGATATCCCACTTTTCCTGCTCTGTGTGGAAGTGTAGGAAGTGCAGTGCTCAAAGGTGCCCTGGCCTCAGGCACTGCATGCGCTCCTGACAGCCCCAAACACGGAATTTAGGATCTGTGCTAAATGCTGTCAAGCTGTACATTTTTTACTGAAGTATGACCATTTGGGGGTTTTCAGGCTTAAAAAGGAATTTACAATGGGCCATCATTCTTAGCCATAATTTTGTAAAGAATAAAAATATTTCAAATTCATAATTTGGTTTTAAATTGGCTTTGGGCAGTGACCATAAATATGAAACTTCAGGCTGAAGCAGACCAGCGTTTTTCAGCCAAGTAATAAATCGCTGGAAATGAGAAGTAGTTTGGCATCACTTTATCCTATATCTGCATTTCTGCCACAGAGTAAAGGAGATGCTTTGGGTTATGAGAATTTTCTTAACTCCCCTTTATTTTAATCCTACATATGGAACACAGAGTACTGTATTCAACTCATTATTTCTTGTGTTCAATTTTAACATATCCATGAATCCAAGCTATGCCAGAGTTTTGCTTTTTTTTTCTTTTTTTTTTTCTTTTTTTTTTTTTTTTGCCACTTTGCAAACCGGAATCTTCATTTTTTGAAGAGTTGTTTCTGTGCTTATAAATACTGCCTCTATTAGCATGTGTACAAGCAGAAATGCAAGCAGAACATTGAAAGCAGCTCAATTTTGAAAGCACAGATTTAGGGGTAGATCTAAAGAATATGCTGCCCTTTCATTTCATTTTGAAGTTATTTAACTCTGTTTTTTCAAACCCATTCTCCTCTAAAAAAGAGGAAAAATTAAACCCCAATGAGTTATAAGTGGAAACATTTTGAAATGCTAATGATGAATTTCATCTGAATTTCATCTTCTTCCTTCCTTTTGGTCAAAATGTTTATGACTTTGAAAACAAATTTTGATTGTATTGAAATTTTTTTTGTTTGTTTGCTTCTGGATTCCTTCTTGCACTTAATGGCACAAGAAAAGCACCCAACAAAACCCAAACAGTGTTCAGGTGCTGAGCTGGGCTCTGCTCATGAGGCGGGTGAGTTCTGGCAGCAATTCTCTGCAGGGGAGGGAGATGCTGGCTCCAGGTGGGAGCTCCTGCTGGAAATTGCTGTCAGAGGCCACGGGGGCAGCAGCATTGCTCTGTGGCACCCACAGAAATGAATATATGCATGAATAGCCATTTGTGTTTGCTTCTGGTAATTCTGCTTTCATTTTCTAGCCCATTTTCCTACTCCAAGGGATTCATTTTGCTCTCCATCTCCTTTCTCTCCTAGCTTTGTTTAACCTCATACCTGTGGGTTTACGAGTGGTGGCGATTCAGGGAGTTCAAACAAAATTATATCTGGCAATGAACAGCGAAGGATACCTATATACATCAGTAAGTAAACGTTTTTGATTCTCTTCTCCATGGAATTGTGGTAAATGAAAACTTACCTTTGCAAGGGATCTGCTAGTAACCTGTAAATGTGAGTTTGGCAGCAGAGTCAGTGTGGTGAATAAACCAGTCTGCTTCTGCTTTATTCATCTATTCCATCAGGAGCACCCAGGGATGTGTGGAATCAAACCCCGGTGCCTTTGAACAATCCTGAAGTGTGAAATAGGAAACCAAAAGCCCAAAGACAGGGGATCCTCTCTCGTGGTCCCTGTGCAGTGTCGGGGGCTGCTCAGAGTGGGGATCGGGAGGGGACAGCTCGGTGTGTCCCCACGTGCCTCAGCGTGCTCTGCTTCCTGCAGAACCTGTGCTACTGCAAGCAACAGGAGGCACAGAAAGTAATTACATTCCTTTATTTTGCCAGGATCTTCAAATAGAAATTTTATGGTTTCAAGTGGGTGAGTGAGTAAAGAACAGCTTTATTAGTAGTTCTGATGAAGAATGTCAGTTAATAATTTTCAGTGATGTTTCTCACAAGAGCAGACAGCGTTTTTATTTAAAAAAAAAAAAAAAAGGAAATTTTTAACAATAGACCACTTTTCAATTAAAAACATTTAGCTGAACTATTTTCAGGAGTTTTAATTATACAGTTTTAATAGATTTTTCCCAAAGAAGAAAATAGAGGAAAATGTATTCTATTATCTACTACAAATGATTCTCTTCTATAAAAGATTGCCTTAATCCTGATAAAAATTAAGCAAACTTATTCAAATCTCTCATTTATTTTGCAATCCTGACAGCTGGGAGCAGGGGCAGCTTTGCATATTTTTTCTCTTTCTGCCAGAGCAGGAGCAGACCAGGCCTGGCAGTGCAGGGACAAAGGAACATTCCTGAGAGCGCTGGGTTTGTGCTCTCAGTGCAGAAATCTCTGCTTTCTGGGGGTGCTTTGTGCTTGCCTGCAGAAATCACTGTCTGGGCAGGGGATTTACCCTGCAGGGCAGCAGCCCCTGCTCTGCCACACAGCCCTGAGCCCCCTGAGACGATGAGCAGCACCTCAGTTCCCCTGCAGGGAGGAGAAGGGGCAGAACGTGACCCTGATGTAGATGAAGTGCAGCTTTCAGCTCCATATGCATCTTAGGCAGGGCTCTGAGATTCACATGGCTTCTCATCTTTATTCTTTGCATTGACTAAGGGTAGTTCTTCACGTGGTTATATTCCCTTGTATCACATCTTCCTTGGCTCCTTTAATGTCTTTGACTTCCACAGTTGATGTCATTGCAAAATTAATTGGTGACATCTCTCTATTTCCCCCATAGTAACAGTGGTCATTTTTGTTTCCTTATTAGATAACTATATTTTCTTACATTTATTTTTTAATCTTCTTGAACTTGATGGGCTTGGCAAAGCTTTAAACAGAATTTTGTTGTGTGGTTTCCCAACTTCGTACTCTTAAATTCTCTTCACATAGACAGGTGTCCACTTAATTTTCTAAGGGAAATTGTCACCCAAGTTCTCAATAATCTCGGTTTTATCCCCTGCTGCCTTGTGGTTTGGTTTTTCTGTTCTTTGCAATAACCACAAGAAACTCTCGGGGGGAAACCAGCTCTTGTCGCTGTCAGTGAACCCAGGGGATGGACAAGGGCTGTGAGGAGCACCTGCCCCTGCTGCAGCTGCCAGGAATCCAGCTCCAGCGCTCTTCTTCAAGTGTTTTAGCATTTCTTTTGCTGATAATGGTCCTTTCAGCAAGGAAGCCAGTCTGACAGTCTGATGCATGGGAAATGAACTCTATATTTTGGGCTGTATTCTTAGCTGGTATAAATGAGTCCCAGGAGAGCTCAGCTGATTTATACCAGCTGAACACTCACCTGTTCACAGAAAGCCACCAGGGAGTCTGGGGGACAGATCAGCTCGAGTAAGTGACATCCATCTACACATCCTGAGGCTTTCAAAGCCCCTGCAGGGATGTGTTCCTGAATGGGATTTGTCAGGAGCAGACAGATGGCAACGTGGGATTGATCAAGTGCAAAAGCCCCACAAAACACTGACAAGTCCCTGAAGCAGGAGAGCAGGGGACACGAAGGGCACTTCAGCTGTACACAACCACAGCAGATAGTTGCAGCATTTCCAGTGAAATTAGCACTGGTGAAGCAGTGGGGTAAGGAGAGAGATGGCTGTGGTCCCTTTCAGGATCACTCGGTTTTGGCTCTGTTGGAGCCTTGCTCTGTGCAGAGGGCCTGGGTGTCTGCCCTCAGAGGCAGCCTGCAGTGGGGCTGTGCTGGAGAAGCTGAATTTTCTCCACGGGGGAATCAGTGGTCTATCGTAGATCTGCGGAGAACAGAGACCTGGAGCTGGCTGCCAGAGTTTATGGACAGTTTGCAGCATCTGTCAGAGCAAAAGTAAGATCTGTAGGGTAATGATAAAAGCTCCTTGGGGACAAGGCAGCAATTCAGCTAAGCAAAAGGAAGAGAAACTGAGAAACCAAACGTGCAGTTCTCTCTTACAGGGGCACGTGGAAGTCCTGGCCTGCAGGGAAGGGAGGAGGCCATGTCACATCTCCAGATCACAGAATCCCCATCTGAAATGGATTCTTTCCCATAGCCAGCATCCTCCGAAGTCCACGGCTGTTGGGTGCTGCTCCTCCCAAGCTGAACCCACCCTCAGCTGTATTTGGAGGGACCTTGTTAGGAGCTGTTTGGAGCCCCAGCCCCTGGTGCTTGAGCATCCTTTCCCCGTGCAGACACAGCATTTATTCATCCCTCTCACACCAGCGCCGAGCTGCTGCGAGATGACTTAGGCAGCGTTATGGCCTGCTGTCTTACGCAACCATGAATCATTTTGTGCATTAGGGTGGCTTTTATTTCACCTTATTTCTTTCTGTGAACGGCCACGTCTTTCACATGACCGCCATATACATGAGTTTTTCTTGTTTGATATCCTGCGAATTCATGTGTTGTTTGAACATTTGAGGGGTGTGTTTGGCAGACACGCAGTCCTGGAGCTGCTGCTTTCTCAGTGGTGGTGATGTGACAGAGGAGGCTCCCAGCGATGCAGAGCAGCAGTGGGTGAGCTTCCTCCAGGGGAAGGCAGATGGAGGTGCAGGGAATTGGGTGCTCTGCATAGGCTGAAACAGCCCAAAACATGCCGAGTTTAAAAAGCAGCCTGAGAACCTCCAGCCGTGCATTTTCCATGAACCATCATGGTAGAGTCTTTTAAACCATGTAATGACTGTCAGTGAAATGCGTATTTTCCATCTAGAACATTTCGAGGCAGGTGATTTTGTGCTTGTTTCTCCTGGGTATGCTGTCAGAAGCAGCATCATTAAATACGTGCTGCTCGTGGCACAGTTCTGGCCAGTCTCAGGAGCAGTGCAGCTCAGCTTGGAAAGGGGGTTCATTTCCCCTCTAGGCTTGCTCTGGGTTGCTGTGTTTTATGAAGCATTTCATTTCCAGAGCCATGGGCAGTTCCTCCCAGCTTCTCCAGGCTGAGGGAGCCCTCTGCCCTGACCAGTGTGGCAGGGCCAAGTCTGCCCAGCCCTCCTGCAGCCTCCAGCCCAGCCTGGGGCAGCTCAGGGCACTCAGCCTTCTGTGGGATGGCTGTTTATGAGGTGTTTATGCTGCCTCTGTTACCTGTTCTGGGATGAGTACTTTGGATTTCATGTTGCTGCTGGCCGTGGCTTCCTTTTGCCATTTCTCATCCGCTGTCACTGGTGCAGAGCTAGCAGGTGTTTGGGGAGCACTTTGCTCTGAAACCCTGGGCACAGCCGTGTGTGCCATTTCCCCTCAGAGAGCATTCAGTTGACATTGTCCTCTGTATGGAAAATAAACTGTCATATCCACGTTTGGTACCTGCATTGAAAGTAAATATTGTGTAAAGCGTGCACATTGATGATAGCCAAGAGAACTGAAATGTGATTAAATTCTCAGAGTGATTCAAAAATTGGTTTTGGTGAGTTGGAGTGAAGAGAAGTTTGTGCATATTTTAATACTGAGCAGTGCAGTGGAGACCTGCTGTAGCTAATGGGAATGGCTGGGGCATTTGTAATGAATTACTGGCAAAGAGCATTTTTCCACCTCAGGGAAACAGCAAAAACCAAGAGATAGGGGAAATAATCAAAAGCTTCATCTGGTTAAATTTGCATGTCAGTATAAATCAGTTTTTACCAGGAATGCAGAGTGCACCTGAATGCAGCTGCTTCTCCTCAGTGCCAGGGGTGCAGATCCCTGTTTCTCTGGCACCCTGCCCTGGGTCTCGCCGGGGCTGCTGCTGCTTCTGCCCACGCAGGGCACGTGCCTGGCAGGTTTGGGGTGGCAGTGAGCTGAGCTGCCTGCAGCGAGGCTGCAGAGGGCTGCTCAGAGTGCCCCAGCTCTGAAGGGACTGCAGCCCTCGGCTGGGCTCCCCAGCCCGTCTGGCCTGCTCTGGCGTGGGACACTCCTGGGCCGTGTCCCTGGGGAGGCAGAGCTCCCCTGCAGCAGGAGGAGAGCTGTGGCTGCAGGGCTGCTGCGGCTGCAGGGCTGCTGCGGCTGCAGGGCTGCTGTGGCTGCAGGGCTGCTGTGGCTGCACGGATGCTGCGGCTGCAGGGCTGCTGTGGCTGCACGGATGCTGCGGCTGCAGGGCTGCTGTGGCTGCACGGATGCTGTGGCTGCAGGGCTGCTGTGGCTGCACGGATGCTGCTGCTCCTGCAGCTGCCCATCTCTGGAGGCACCAGTGTGAGCCCAGATTTCTGGGGACAGACTGCCTGTCTCCAGCAGGGAAGTGCAGATGGCACCATCCTCCCACGGGAGAATTATTAGGAGATTCAGCGAGCGGAAGGTCTTGAAGCTGTTGTGCTGCTTTCCTCTACAGTCATCCCCAGGAGCTGAAATGCTGAGGTGCTGCTGTGGCTCCAGATCTGCCGGGAGCCGAGGCTCCCTGGGAGGAGCTCAGGCATGGCAGGGGTGCTGCAGGGCTGTGCCTTGTCCTGCTCTGCTCTGCTCTGCTCTGCTCTGCTCTGCTCTGCTCTGCTCTGG